ATTTCTCTTTGTTGTAGAGATCCATTGAATTCTTCGCACGATTTCCTGATTTTCTCGATGAGTTTTTCGGTGTACTTCTTTTGACTTTCTCGGAGTTTTTTTGACTTTCCGATATCCATGATTTGATACAATGAATGATTTCCGTTCGATGAATGATACGCGTTGAGAATTTTACTTCTTGATTCAATTCTTTGTGACTTTCTGGGCTATCTGACTAGCGACCAGATCCGGCTCGAAGGACCATGTTGTAATTTTGAATGAAATAAGACTTCTGTGAATCAATTTGCCATGTCAGGGATTAGCGCGATGATCAATTACACATTTACAGTAGTCTTCTTGGTTATAACTTCTTGTATTTGAATAAATTTTAACAATTTTCCTGAGTGAAATACATAATACTCTCTCTCTCTCTCTACTCAACAACGCACGAGTTTTGCTCTCTGCTCATGTGACTATACACGTGACCATATGCTAATTGGCATTACATCATCAATTTCTTACACCTATAAAATGAACTAGACGTTTCTCCGTCGAGCACTTTTCCATGAAAATTCCAACTTCAATGTTGAGAAATAATATTCCCTTTCATTTTCGACTTTTGGTCAAATCTACTGCAAACATCATTGGTTGATACATTTGTGTTTTAAGTATGAGAATAGTAGCTGCACAGTGAAAATCTTATTAACCTCGCTAGTTCAGGCCGAACGGGTAGTTATGTAAACTTTTTTACAATTCTTTATCTCTATCATTTTAAAAGTCAAAAAAATAAATTCTTTGAAAAATCACGAATTCTTTACTAAGATAAAAGGAGCATTTAACCTGATAATGCGCGAATCACTGCGTAAAAAAACGCTATTTTCACATAAAGTGGCTGTTTTAGTTGTATTGTATAAAAATTATATTATGCAAAATCGATCACCGGCACTTGAACCTCTGTTTATACATCTTTTATTGGCAAACTTAATGGACTATTGGAGATTGAAGACTGCGTGGTGAAAATAATGAGATGAATAACTGAAACTCAATAGTATGACAGAAATGGAAGATTATACAGTTAGATTAAAGATATTTGAAGCAAAAGGAAGTTCAAGAGCATACACTAATTACGAATAGCGGTGGTTCTCGTTAACTCGATCGTGAAATACACTTTAGTGATCCACACACTATTTCTCATTATTTTGCATGTTTTCTTTTTAGTTTTGTTGACATAGAAATGGAAATTCAATGTTGTAATTTTCAGCTGAATAGTTCTTTGCCAAACAGGATATGAATTGGGTGGTAACGCTTTAGAGTGAAGTCGTTAAACTCGCGAAAGAAAACTTAGCTGATTATATTAAAGTGTGATAATCAAATAGACACAAAAGAAAACAATCAATTCAGAGTGTGCTAACATGTATTAGTGTAATATCTATTTCTTAGAATAAAGAGTAGCGCAGATATCCGACGTTCTGAATTCATACTAACTCCATTATCAAGGATAAACTTTCATTAAAAGATGCAAATTTATGGTAATAGAGTTATTATGACTCTGAAACGCCGGATATTTGCGTTATTCTTCATTCTAATCCTATTTCTAAATCGATATTAGTTTAAATATATATTTCGTTGTATTTTTTACTTCCCTCTAGCTTATTAGGAATATTGATCAAAGATGAGAGTCCAGAGATCAGTTGTTAGGGCCATAGAGTTTTGTAACTGAAAAACTGTTATAATTCACACCTATTTCAAAAAACTTTGAATACTAATACTATCATACCGACATAGGGTTTCATGCATGTGACAAAATATTATTTATGAGTATGCTTTAAATGACCTTTCTCATCTTTCATTAGGTTTGTAGCTGGGCGGCTGAGGAATACAGCAACATTGGATCCAGAGAATGGGTAGAAGAGCACAGAGAATTGTTAGATCAGCGAGCTGTTGCCTACATTAATGTGGACGTCGATGTTGAGGGAAATTATGCCTTATCAGCCAAGTCGTCTACGTTGTTTATGAACTTGATAGTGAAATGGATAAAAAAGATGCAAGACCCCAATGCACACGATGACAAGCAAACTGTGTACGATATCATGGTTGAAAGAAATCCCTCCAAAGACGATGCAACTAAGCCTAACATCATACCCCTGACTTCTGTCAGTGATTTCGCCCATTTCTACCACCACATGGGAATTCCATCGACTGACATGACCTATAAATTTGGATTCAAGAACAGATTGTCATCTTACCCCGTTTATCACACGCAACACGATACTTTTAAGTGGGTTAAGAAATTTACTGATCCTAAGTTTGAGTTCCACAAACTCATGTCAAAGATTCTTGGTGGAATGCTGTTTGATATGGCGAACAATCCCTTACTACCAATGGATGTCGAAACCTACAGTCACGTGATTGAAAAATCCTTTAAGTTCTTAGAGTCCAAAGAAAAAGCTCAATTAGAAAACCATGGCATATCTCTAAAGTATTTGGCCAAGGCCGTTGCAAAGTTCACTAACGCCACGAAAGCGTTCAATCAGTACAAGTCACACATCGAGAAGAATGTTGAGAGTGAGAGTTTCTCTTTACTGCGCAGGCTCAACGATCAAATGGTCAGTGTTGACAAGGCGTTTGTGTATCCCTACGGGTTGCCAGGGCGACCACTGACTCGTCACGTTGCTTTTGCACCTCAAAGATACAACGCCTACGGGGCGTCGAGTTTTCCAGGAGTCAGCGATACCATCTTCGATGCTGAACGCGGAGGAAAGTGGTCTGAAGTGGATCTGCAGATATCGATTGTTATGCAGGCCATTTTATCTGCAGCTGACGTTCTTCAACYCATTCATATTTAGAAAAACCTGTTTTCGATAGCACTGTGTATTCTTGTGCGCTTTCCATTTGAACTGGCTGGCCAGAGCCAGAGAAAATGTCATTATATATCATTCCCATTTAGTTAGGAAATTCAAACTTTCAAATTCTATCCATTATTCTACAGACAACCTCGAAATGACTGAGAAATGTTGACAAAAAGCATTATATACCTCTAAATAGAGTGGACTGGACGGTCAGTTCTGCCCAAATGGAAAGCACCCCTAGTTGTCGCAATAGCGACAATGAAAGTTATTTTGATAACGTCAACTATACCTCGACAAAAAAGGAGGTCTAGGATTGGACACTGAGGTATTGATTGTTTCAGACAATGAAAAAGAATCATAGCAAATATTTACTTCCTTCTTAGTGAACTTAGGCCTGAGTCGAACGCCATACTTAATTCTTCGACAAAAATTCTGTTAATTTTTTTTGTGACCAAGCTTTCAAGAGATTTTAAAGCAAAATACCGCTTGAAGTTGAAGCTTGATAGTTGATCTGAGCATCGTCAGACAGCGAAAGCTGAGACCAATTATCATATTAAACTCCAAGCAGTGCCTGGTCACACTCGTATTGCGTATTTCTTTATATATTCTTCATACTGCTAAATGAGAACTTTCACCGGTTTATCTCGGCCTTTGGTCTTCTTGTTTGTAAGGGTTAAATAATTATTGTTTCATGGGTAAACGTTACGACTCAAAATAAAAGTGTACATTATTTTCAGATGAAAATAAAAGTGATTAGAAACAGTCTTATTTTAAATAGTTTATTGTTATACGTTAGCCGAATAGGTCCATTGTGAGATTGTAATTATATGCATAGATTTAACACATTAAATCCGTGAAGCAAAAGTAATAAAAATTAGATGTCAAACTATTGCAATTCCTTTGTTTTCTATAGTCCACTATTTGATAGTGTACAAACTCTAAAACTGTGCAACATAAATACCACTAGCTAAAATACTACTAAATTATGCTAATTCTACAATTGTCTTCTATTGCTTAAATAGCATTATTTTGTAGTAAATAGTGCACGCTTTTAGTGTTTGTACTCTAGTAATCAGGAATATTTGTTTCACAGATTTTGTGAGTTCACTCCATCTGCATCATTTGAGCAATTTTATAAAGGGCGGAGTAAAAAAAATCCGTGAAATAGGTATAAAAGACATCTTAATACGCTCGCTATGTTTCCTTTTGCGTTTATTATCACATTTTTATAGACGAGTTTTGTTTCACGGGTTAAATGACTTTATCATTTAAGGCAAAGCAATTACATTAACTTCAATTTAAGTGAACTGAGCCAAACTTTAATCCTTTGCTCCTTACGAATTGTTCTACAATATACGAAATAACTTAAAATAACTTCAACCTGCAACCTTGTCAATGCAGTCTGTAAAATACATTTCATCTCTAATATTAGCATGATATCTTTCTCATAATCAAATTAAACTTTGTTTTGCGAAATCGCTCTATTCATATAAGATGAAATGACAGGCAATGCGTATCTTTATGCACAGTTCAGTGAGCTGGTGATCCAACGCATGCACATGTGGCGAAGAGAAATGTTGGTACGAGTCTGATTTAATCGGATCTTCGCCATACTTTAATTACATCAGTCCATGTGCTTTTACATACAGTATCCCATAATTTAATATAACAACAGGGAGCGCAATATATCGTGGCGATTACGCGACAGCACATTCAGAGTCTCTTTGGCTGGAATTTTCCTGCAAACAACAGTTGTATGGAACGCTACTAAAAAGTTGTATTGGCAATATAGGATCTCAAAGGGACATTTTCGACCGTTATCCCTTATTTGTTTTTATTTATGAAAACTGATAAAAATCATACTATATATATTTAATGCTAATTACGTGCTCTGGCCGACAGTCAGCCACACTTTATTTTAATCGAATTCAGCTCACTTTCGATATGTGAAAAATCGAAACCAATGTTATACCTGCTAGGAGCATTTGGCTAGAAGGCCATTAACTTGGCACGCACCCTTATTGTGTTAACATATAGCCCAAATAATAGCGCAGTGAAGTCGAAGGTCGACAGCTGTAAAATCCGCCTCGGGACTAAATTGGTGCTAAAGCTGAATTATTTGCAGCTGTTAAAATTTTGCTCGGGGATTTTATTAATTCCCTGTTCAAAGAAATCAAACACGATCCCGACCTGACCCAAAATGTCCGGAAAAACAATAGACCCGATGATGTTTCACTTTTCTCGTGATATGGGTTTTGAAGTATTTTCACGTTTTTGTGTTTGGGTTCTGGACCCGTCAGTAGCGACACCCTTGGTAACCTTCATTTTAGCTTTCATTTGAAAATATCGTAAAGATATGAATATGAAGACCGCATGGCACTATGATAAACACGATATAGAAATGAAAGAAAGTTATAGTCGGTCGTGGGTTCGAATCCCAGCGAGGTCGGAAATTAATTTTTCCGAATTTATTCCTAAGGGACTTCTCCCGGAATTGCCTCCTTCTAAGCACTATAACTTTCTTTCATTTCTATCTGGGTGATTTGAGAAAATACGACTAGCCAATCAGCGCAAAGCTGACAAGTTTATGTTGTAAACATAGCCCCCCCACGGGAGGAATTTGCACAGCAAAACTCGACCCAGTGGAGTAGGCTGCATGCCATTTTATTTTATCCGAAAAATCAAAGCTGAAACGCAAAGAGAAATTGAAATCTTTATGAAATAGCTTTTATTAAATGTCAATCAAATATTTATCGTTATAGAAATAAAATTTTATCTTAAAAATGAAATAATAAATATTTTTTTCTTTAATACCAAGAGACTCCCCTCCCTGATAAAAATAATTGTTCTGTGTTCTACGTGGGTTCTCCATGGCACGCGAAGCAATATGACCGACTTCACAAAGACTTCAGAAGGTCGTTGAAGCGACGTTCAAGTCCAAAGTATCTTAGGAGGAACCATTGCAAATCCTTTTTCTTAGCTCTTGTTTCCTCTAGCTTTGAGGTATCTACAACATCGCGGAAAGAGCTAGGGCAGCTTAGCTCCACGTATTCCAATAGAGTTAAAGCGTTTGTTGTGTTTGGTAGTGACAGCAGTCGTAGTTCATCCTTTCTCGCATTTTCGGCTCGACGATACAACAGGTAGACGTTATGTAACAGGTCGGTTACACATTTACTAGCTTTGACCTTACAACGAGAGCTAGAACGGTGACTGGGGTTTTTCGTGTAATGTCTTGATAGCGACTGTTTATGTTGAAACGACTCAAAACAAAGTTCCATCGTGAAAAAAGTTTGACTAAATTCCCTTCTGAAAAACACGTGTGTATTTAAGGTGGAAAATGTTTGATATGAGCATTCAATTCTTACTAAAGGTTTAATTCTATAATCATTTTGTTTAGTTCTGTAAATAAATTTAACAAGACTTGTACTGTTTATCTGAGTGAAAAGAGAGCTGCGGGTTTTCCCTTTCCTTTATTTACACTTTCAAATATGACCGCTTAACAAAAATGCACGGGCTCACTGGCTTACAACCTTGGCGAATTTATATGCAGGCCTGGTCGCAAATCAATCACCCAGATATCGTATTTGAAAATATCACTGTGCTGGCTGGATAGAATGTACCTTCTCAGTGAAAGAACACCAAAAGTAGAGGAGCAGACTGTTCAAGTGTCAACGAGTGASCTCGTAACTACAATCCCGGACAAAACCCGTTTTATTTTTTTACTCCAAAATATCCCCATTTTTCATATTTCTAAAAAAAGACACTGATTTTGATCCAGCTCCCCTCCCCCCACGGCTAAACAATGCTGTGTGTCTGACGTGGTGCTAGAAGGGTGTGCATGATTGATCAGTCCTTTCAACATTGATCTGAGGACGAAAAAGGGAGATTTGCACAGAAATGCGCAGCTTCATTGTTGATCATCTAAATTCAACTTATGTCTCAACTGTTTTGTCCGGGATTGTAGGTACTCTTTTACGATATGAAACAAACACTCGTGCTCTCTTTTGTGTTTCGTGAGGTCTTTGCGTATGAGAATATACTGTCAAATAAAACAGCGATTATCTGCTTTAAATTCCAAAATGGATTATAGGAAGCCGTACAACGAAGAMATCCKTGTATTTGAAGTCATCTACAMTCGTTCCCAACATTAATTGGAACGACTATACGATGCAACTTAAATATAGGTCCCTCTTCTCTTACAATATTCAAATATTCCCACGGTCCCCCTTTAAATCAATGTTGCTGTAGTATTGATTATGATGACACAGCTTTTAAATGCATGTCAAATCGCAAGCATCAATGAACACTGATAGTGGGAGGGGGTGAGGTTAAGAAGTCAGACATTGTTTTTGCGCCATGTGAAATACAAACCAATGTCTAAACTACAAGGATTTKGGCAACGATTGCAGCTTCTTACAGAAAAAAGATAATACAACTTCACTTGTGTAAAATAGTCAAATACAATTAGGTAGACTGATTATTTAGATTTATTTTTCACATATATATGAATTATAAAACTCATTYCAGTCAAACTACCTAAAGCGTGAACACGTACAGATCTTTTAAAATGAATTCATTATTCCGTTATTGATTTGATTCTTGGATTCAAATATTCATCATTGAGTTTATTAGTCAACTTTTCAAAATTTTGAAAATGTGCAGTTATCACCCATGCACATATTATTTTCATTTGTTCTATTCGTTTTTGCATGCTTGAATATTTTTCAATATTTAAAACTTCATTTGAATAATGAATATTTGAATTCAAGAATCAAATCAATAATGCAATATTGAACTCATTAATGATCACTAGGTGTTCATGCTTCAGGTAGTTTGACTGTAATATTCATAAGGCAAAACACAATAGAAATCATATTACACACAGATCGCCCGCTCATATTGTATATATTACCTACACTCTATTGATTATATATTTCGGTGACGCCTTTTATTGGACGCTACATTCACTAAGTGCGATATCATACAAAGAGATCATTAACTGTTGCATTTAAAAAAACAAGACATTAAATATATAATATAAAAAGTATTCGAATCTACGCTTTAGAAATGCTAAGTCATTCAGTAATTAAGAAAATAAAAAAAGGCTTTATACAATAATATTGTGTCAATCTTCTTCAGAATTATGTTACGATATCGGTTGTGGCTGTGTGGAAGGTCTTATGTGCAAAAAAAGTATTTGCAAATGTATTCTTGTTAGTGTAGCTATAGATGTTGTGATAGATATGATTTCCAATTTMAAATAAATTATAAGTAAATTATAAAATACCTTATTACATGTTATTACATATTGCCTATGTGTATAATATTTTAAATTTTTACGAACCATGCATTATATGACTGATGTCGTACAAGGCGATTTAGCCACCACATCCTCCGCAMCCACCACATCCGCCACCACACCCACCGCCACACCCACCACCTCCATCACCGCCTCCACCACACCCACCACCATCGCCACCATCCCCGCCATCACCACCACAGCCCCCTCCATCACCACCACATGCACCACCATCACCAAAACCACCAGCATCATCGCCGCCATCGCCCCAATCGTTGTCCCCAACTTCATAGTCAGAATCAACCGATCCAATGTTACCTTGGTCATCAAACCCGATATCATCACCCCATGCTCCGTCRCAATCCATATCCTCAAATCCATCACTGACATCAATATCAGGGCAAAAACCCCATCCAACATCGCCCATGCATGATACCATGTACACGTTTGTTGGCACGGTCATACACATATACCCAGCTGCCAGAATTAAGCAGGGMGTCGAATAGAGGATRATACTGCTGTTAGACAGACTTCGTCGCTTAACTACAGTGGTTGGAGCCGTGCGAGCTACGGAAGATGTGGGTACTTTTGTTTTTCGGCTAACAGGAGCAGCAAGTTGGGTTTCTTTGGGAGAGTACGGTCGGCACAGGAGATGAAGGATAGAAATTGCAAAGCCAATCGCGAGACATTGCGGTAACTCGTCGGCATTGGCGTATGGGATTGTTATCAAGCCCTTGCTAAGGTCAACCTTTACTTGAGAAGAGMTGTCACCAGAATCTAAAGTGACAAGAAACTTGGACTCCTTTAGTTTTTTAACCTTACACCAGCCTTGCTTGTTTGAGCCAAGTCTGTAGAATTTCACTCCCATGAAAGACAGGTTTCTTCCTCCTCTTCCTTGGACTTCTTTTTTCACCCACTTGCCAATGCAAACACCATAATCGTCATCTCTGCTTCGTATCAACATTGCACGAGCACCTTCCCGAGCAGCTACTGTGATACAGTCCTTGCCATCATTGGATAGATCGCTGGCTTCTGGCAAAGCACCGATGCYCATAACATGTGCAGTAGCCTCTAGGTTGTTATACACGTCAAGGACTTCAACAGCTGACAGCATGGCTTCATTGGAGTGAACAATCTTACAATTGAAAACCAGCTGACCTCTATGATCTCTGATCTCATTGGTTGTCATTTCACCTGGAAGTGTAGGCATTTCGATTTGCTTGGGCATTAACATTAATCGTGGTTGATTCAGCACCTGTGCTACATGATCTACCTTTGTAAACATTGGCTCCGCAATTGCAGTGAGTTGGAAATTATTTGGAGTTGGAGCGATTACGACTGAGAAATTCAAGGTCACACTCCCTTCCGTAAAAGCTGTGTTAGATGTGTTTTTCGCTGGAAGCTCCTTAGACRACTGTTCCAGGTTGATCAAGAAGGCCTTAAGACTAAACACATCGTATTGAAGCTTCTTTTTACCAAACAGACGTTTGTGGTACAAGATTATTTCGATATTTGATTCTTCAGCAGAGTTACAGGAGAAGATTGCTAGAGGGGAGTTCTGACTACCAAAAGAACCATCTCCTCCCTTTACAATCCTCTTGACGTCATGAGTCATGAGGTCTGATTTGATGACAACTTCAAACTTTTTCTTAGGGTTTAAGTTCATTTGAATGCTTGTCAAATTAACAGTGAAGGTCTGTGACGCCAGACATTTAAATCTGCCTGGTGCCTTTGGAGGAATTCTCGGCAAAGGCTCCCCTCTGTACATGGCTCCTCTTTTTGACAATGACATGCCACTTTTCGACCATGCATCTCTTGTCATCATTTCCGATTCATACAATTTAGATCCTGGTACACGACCAGTGTCAGAGTCGTCATGGTTTAATACAAAACCTAGCATTTTCTTCGTATCACTAAAATACGTCAGTGGGTAAAGCTGATGCGCGTGCCAGATGAGATCGAAGTCRTAACARGGCACAGCAAACAGATGAGGATTGGTCTTCTTTAAGTACAGATGGTGTTTGTATCGATCAACTGCTGTTTTAAGAAACTCTCTGTCCTTGTAATGAGGCAGGGAGACATTGTAGTAAAATTTACTCTGGCGCATTGCAGCTGAGCGAAGATCGTATTGCAAAGTTGAATTGTACGCTGGGAATGTATGAGGTGGATTGACAAGGTCTATGTGAAACGGCTCGCCTGGATTGGTTTCCTCCCAGAGTTGCTTTCCAATTGTTAGGTTTTTGGATCGATAATCGTGATGCAGTATTCTCYTAAAGCGTGATATGCAGTCTTGTTGATAAGCGAGTGGTGCAAGCATGTGAACGTGCCACACCCATGCAACATCGATGGGTGCCGCTCTAAGGGAAATATGAGGATCTTTTCCYAGGTCTTTTCCATCTTCAGTATACCTCGCAACAAGTGGCAACCAGAATAACTCATATCGACGAATGGCATTCTCAAGGATTGGGCCACCATACAGCGCAGGGTAGTTGTCTACCAATTGAAGAAAGTCGAGCTCGGCCAAGGCTCCCTCTGTTAACTGTTCGTATAGGTTATGGAAACTGAAATGCTCGTTCATCTTTGAAAATCCTGAAATGAAAGATATTGCAATTTTGAGTCCATTTTTCGTGGACCGACACTGGGTTCCCGCGCAAACACACGTTTCTGTCCGCCCTTACTTCCTTCCGTGTACCACCACAGGAAACCCATACTCCGATCAAAAAAAGCGACAAAATATGAGAGAGAATTCAAAGCATCAGAGATTACCGCAAATTTTGTCATAACTACTACAACGCGCTTGGGCACCGGGAATCGATTTGTGAAAAATAATATAAAAATTAGGTAACACCTAATAGCGGAG